ACCTCTTGGGTTTCTGGCTTCAGGCAGGGGTGGATCCACGCATTAGCAGTGTTGTGAGAATTCTGTCGTTTGCTGTGAGTTTCCCCTCTCAGGTAGGCTCCTCTCTTGGTAGTGACCAGGAAGCTCTCTCCTGTTACCCAAAAGCTCCAGGTTTCTATCCTCACCCCTTAGCAACAGGCCTCCCAATGGTACCAACATATTTCAGGCTGGATCTCATTGGTTGACTTGAGTTACATGCTGGCTCTGAATCTGTGGCCAGAGTTTTAGAAATGTCCAGTCAAGGCGATGAGGGAGGAGGAGGTGTGGTTGGCACCCAGGTCTTCTGCACAGGCTGAGACAGACATTCAGGAAAGGAGCAGGTTGAGAAGACAGCACTGAACCCAGTGGGGTGCTCATGGAGTTTGAGGGCTCAGGAGAGCAGTGTGGGGTGGCTGGACCCTAGGGGCTAGTGCTGAAGATAGGTTTGGGACTTGTCAGAGTGTCCGGGAGCTTGACAGGACTTGGTTTTGTGAGAGAAAGCCTGGCGCAGTGTGGATCCAGAGTGGTGCCACCAACTACCTCTCACAGGTGCTGGCTCAACAAGGCGAGTACAGCGAAGCCATTCCCATTCTGAGGGCAGCCCTGAAGCTAGAACCTTCCAACAAGGTGAGTAGAATGGAGGTACCCTGGGGACTTGCCCTCCTGGCCTGTCTGGGAAGTCCCTCATGTTGTCTGCCCTTTGTTTTTCTTGTGGCTCTCCCTGTGGTATTTTCACTTGGGCAGTGTCGGGTTAGGTAGCTAAAGGCCCCAGTCAGCTTGCTGAGACCCTTGTGATCCTTACATAGGTGGTTTGCCCAGCCAGGGGTCCCAGAAGCCAAGGGCGCCACCAACTTGGTCAGTGCCAATGTCTTCAGTTTTCCTCCCAGAACCTTCCTCTTCTGGCTACCTTGTGCTCCACCCTATCCACAGGCTCCCTAGAGGGATGGAGATGACAGCCCTCACTTTGTTGATGCCCAGAGAGAGGGACAGATGAAACCCCTGTCTCCCCGTAGTCCCAGTCCCAAAGTGACTCAGGGTACCAGAAAGGCAGAGCACCAGCAACGGGAGGTCATGGTGGCTGCCGCCGCCACATGCTCTTAGCCCAACTGTCCCCTGCCCCTCCCAGACGATCCATGCGGAGCTCTCAAAGCTGGTGAAGAAGCACGCAGCCCAGCGGAGCACAGAGACTGCCCTGTACCGGAAAATGCTGGGGAACCCCAGCCGGCTGCCTGCCAAGTGTCCTGGCAAGGGTGCCTGGGTGAGCTGGGGCTGGTGGGTAGGGAGGCTCCCAGAGGAGGGGTAGGGTCTATGGGCAGGCCACACAGAGGGGGTGTTTTCATTTTGTATACATTGATGTCTTTGTCACCTGGGCGCTGCTGGACCATACTGGGGACACAGAGGCCCCAGGCCTGTGTGACTAGAGCAGAATGTCGAACACAATCTGTAGGACTTAGGATAGGGAGTGCTGGCTCTTCCAGAGGGGAAAGGGAGGTATCCCAGAGTGGGGAACATTTGGCTTGAGTTTTGATGCATGAGTAGGAGTTTGGCAGGAGGCAGGAAAGGCAGAGTCAGGAAGTGGCTTCCTGAGAGGCCTGTGTAGGCCATGTTGGTACCTGAAGCCTAAGACATCAGTCTTGAGTGCTCTCCAGTCTTCTCCTCTTCTCTTTATCCACAGTCCATCCCATGGAAGTGGCTGTTTGGGGCGACTGCCGTTGCCCTGGGGGGCGTGGCTCTCTCTGTGGTCATCGCTGCCAGGAACTGACCATCTAGGTGGCTGCCACCCCTCTGCGCACCATGGTCCCCACCCTGAGCTCCCTAACTCTCCCAGGCTCCCTGTCCACTGCTCTCTCTGGCCTAGCCCCCTCCTCTGGGGCCGGGACAGTGAGGTTTGGGGGTCGTGTGGTCCAGTGAGCAAGAGGGACTGAGGCCCTATAGGAGGAAAGTAAGGCAGGGCCCGGGCCCCATGTCCAGCCCAGAGGGAAGGGGCCCTCATTCCTCCAGACCCAATTCCCACCCCACCCTTTCCCCCCTGGTTTAGGTCTCAATAGGGCCGGCCTTAGTTTTCCCTTCTCAATAGACCTGGGGGCACTCCTTCCCCTATCCAGTCCCTGTCCAAGTGCCAACCCTTCCTGCCCAGCCTGCTGCATCTCTGTCCAGGCTCACCCCAACCCCTCAGTGAAATAAAGCCTCCCACCCTGCACTTCGCTGGCTCTGAAGCCTTCTTTCACCACCACTGGGGGCTGGGCTGGAATGGGAGGGAGCCGAAGCCGACCCTTGTTACAGAGGTGGAAACAGCCCTGGAGAAGTGGGTTGATGTGCCCAGGGCACCCAGCTGTGAACTCTAAGGAGTTCATACCCCCTCTACCTGTTACCCCAACCTCTCATATCTGTTTTCTGAAAACAGGGACCCTGATGGAACTTAACTGGGGCCTTCACTGAGACTAATAATCACAGGGGGTCTAACTGTGCAGTGATCTGACAGCCCCATGTCTGGGCTGTAGCAGTATAGCCAATGAAAAGGCTAGAGCTTTTGCAGTGAGCTCTCTAGGTGGAGGACATGTCAAGAGGTCATCCCAAGGTGATGGAATAACTTCCAATTTCTTGGGTAATCTAGTTCTTAGAGAATTTTAGAGAGCGTGCCAATGCCTAGTGATTCTTCCATTATTGTCCCTGGGAGCCTGTTGGGAGTTATGGGGCATTGAGTGTAAAGTGGAGAAATGCTTGTTACCAAGCAGTACAGCCCATGGTTGCAGTGTTCCTAATTCCCTAACTTCTCTAAGCCTCAGTTTCTTCATCTGGCAAATGGGTTCAAATGTTGTATTCACCCCAAAAGGCAGTTGTGAGTACCAAGCACTGAGCACAGAGCCTCAGCAATTCATGGTTAGTGGAAGTAAATGGATGGTAGTGCTATCCTGGCAGTGGTGGGCAGAACTAATGAGATCACCTGGGTGGAGACATCCAAAAGGTCCCCTCCCTCTCAGTCAAAATTCATCCTATGACCACCATCTGTAATTAGATTGAAGGGAGAAAGAAAATGACTCAAGAACTTTTTATGGGCTGGGAGGCCCAGAAGCCTGGGAGTAGCTTCCCTGGGCAAGCCAGCACTGATCTGCAGCCCCAGTTTTCCCATCTGTACAATGTTAGCTTATAAAATGGTGTCGTTTCTGAGGAAAACAATCTGGCAGTTCCTTGAAAAGTTAAATAATTTCTGTATGACCTAGCAATTTCACTCCTAGGTATAAATCCAAGAGAAGGGAATACATCCATCCACACAAAAACTTGTACATGAATGTTCACAGCAGCTCTATTCATAGTAGTGAGAAAGTGGAAACTACTCAAATGTCTATTAATGGATGATGGATAAACAAAATGTGGCCAGTTCACACAGTGGTTTTTTACTTGGCCTTAAAAAAGAATGAAGCACTGACATGTTACGATGAGGATGAACCCTGAGAACATTATGCTGAGTGAAAGAAGCCAGATACAGAAAGGAACATGTTGTATGATTACATTGATATGAAATGTCCAGAATTAGCAAATACATAGTCACAGAAAGGTTAGTGGTTGTCAGGAGATGGGAAGGGAGGAGTGGGGAGTGGGTTTCCTTTTGGGGTGATAAAAGTGCTGTGGAACTATAGTCATAGTTGCTGCACAGCATTGTGAATGTACTAAATGCTACTGAATTTTACACTTTAACCCATTTTCTATTTGTCCTGAGAATACTTGGTGGCGCTTGCAGCTGCAGTGTTTACCCCAAGATAACCTTACCCCCAAAGTTTGCCACGAAGTATCTTGCTTTTATTATTATTTTCGCGTCGCTCTAGTGTACTGATAGTCTTTGGAAACAAATGACATCATTCTGTTTATAGCATTCTGTATTTCCATTTACAAAAAGTGGTATTTCCTTTTACAAAATATAGTTATTCTTGATCGCTTGATCCCGGGAAACGCAGCATTCCTACGCGTGATCTTCAGCCCCAGTTTTCCCATGTTAACATTGTTCTCTAACAGACTTTAGCTGAAGATTGATTTGACGAATCCAATTCATGTATACAACTCTCTTACATTAGGATTAGAAACAAGTTCTGTTTAGAAATAACGCCGTTTTTATATTTTATATTTTATTTTCGCATTGAAAACCCATAAGATTTGCTTC